TTTTTTTTTTTTTTTTTTTTTTTGGTACCGGAGATCGAACTCAGAACCTTCCGCTAGCAAGGCAGGCAGTGGCACCACTGAGCTTCATCGCTGGCCCTTGTGGTATATTTTTTAGAGATAAATTTACCATTTGCAGGGCACAGTCTGGCGGTGAGAAGACTCCCATAGGTGGGCAGTGGTCAGCACCACCCCCTCCAGAACATTTCTAGGTCCCCAAACTCCAACTCGACACCCATTAAACAATCCCTCCACTGCCCCCTCCAAGTCGCACAGCCTCGGGCAACACCACTGAGCTGACATTTCTAGGACGCTATTCGAAGTCTCACAGAATGGGAAACAAGCACTACTTGTGTGTGGCTGTTTTATACAACGAGCATAATGTTCTCAAAGTTCACTGACATCAAAGGATGTGTCAGAATTTCCTTCCACTTTTGAGGTTGAATAATATTTCATTGTATATATTCATTCATCTTAAGCATTATTTTATTGCAAAAAGAAATCTTCAAAGTAATTCGTGATTCCATAATGTAACCAAATTGCTTTTTACTGACTGTTCCTGAGCTATAGGAAGAGTCCACTTATTAATTTCACCCATGTCATAGACACAACTTTAAAGTCTACGATTCACTTAACATCTCACTAGAGTCCTGTTTTGCTAGCAATAAAGTAAACTTGTTAAGCCCATCAACCAGAGAGTGTCGGCTAGGACCCGCCCCCCCCCAGCGGTCACATCTTTGGACTCAAAACTACAGTCTCTATCCTCATAAAAAGACAATCCTGGATGACGTAAATATGTACTACAGCAAGATGAAATGTAACATAGCAAGTGTAAGAGTGATTGTAAGCACTAAAAGTTTCAGAGAAGAGGGTATTTGGTTTAATGAATATTTTTACTCATCATTTATTACAAGAAAAAAGTAGAAACAAGTATGTAGCAACACAGGAATAAATAAAATTCTAAACCTAGAATATTTAATGAGGCACTCCTAAAAAGTGACGGGGCGCCCCTGGGTGTGGTGGCATCCCAGGAGACTCGGAGCCTAGGCAGGAGGACTGGAAGCTCAAGGCCAAAGGGGGAACTTTTCGAGACCTGTCTCTAAACAAACAACCAGACTGGGGATGTAACTTGGTTCAAAGGTCCTATGTTCAATCTCCAGTACTGTAAGAAAAAAAAATGATGGGGCACAAGTGTATTTGATAGGAAAAGTTATTTGTAACACACTGTTTTGTTTTTATAAATGCAGGTTTTATTCACAGCAGAAGCCCCCCACCCCCAACTTTTTTTTTCCTTTGGTACTACTAGGGATCGAACTCTGGTCAGGCAGGCAGCGGAACCACTGAGCTAAATCCCCAGCCCAGAATCTCCTTTTTCTAAAATAGAAAGCACTCTAAAAAAAAAATGCATGCCAAATAATATTAAATGATCATCATCTGGTAGTAAGAATAAAGGTGACATTCATTTTCTCGTTTTGCTAAGGTAGGTGTTAAATTTTTTCTACCATGACCATCTATTACTTACACCTTTTTGGGGAGGGTTGTTTGGTTGGTTGGGTTTTTGTTTTTGTTTTTTTGGATACCAGGGATCGAACTCGGGACCTTGTGCTTTCAAGGCAGGCAAACCACAGAGCTAAATCCCCAACCCTGGTGGGTTTGAGACAGGATCTCACTACGTAGTTCGTGCTGGCCTTCAAGTCACAGGCTGGCCTCCAACTTGCAGCGATTCTCCAGCCTCAGCCTCCCAAGTGCTGGGATGAGAGACATGGGCTACCACACCCAGGCACTTACATCATCCCCCCCCCAACTGGGAATCAAACTCAGGACCGTGCACTTGCCAGGCAGGCACAGTGCCACTGAGCTACATCCCTGGCATACGTTATTTTTAAAACCACTTATTCAGCCCCCGCCTCAGCTAGGCAAACAATTGGTTTGTGTGACAAGCTCCTTGCATATACCCACGGCAGTCACTGCAAATCAATCACAATGCTCATGCCCTCTGAGCACAGACTCAGGTTCACAATCCCTCTCCACACAGCACTTGCAACAGCTGTGACCAGCCCAGCAGAGCCGACTGGCTACGTGAACCCTACAGGCCAAGCCCAGCACAACCCCTGTGCAGAGCAGGACTTCAGGAAGCCTGGTTCGTGGGAGAAGCTGCCGTCACAGCGCTGCAGCCTCAGAGGGGGGCTCCTACCTCGCCCTGACTATCCAGCACTCTACACAGAGACCAGCTCCTCCTCACGGCCACAGATCTGCGGCCCAAGGATGCATAAAGAGAAGAGAACATCGCAGCCCCCAAACAGGAGTCCCGGCTCACCTGATGGGAATGATGTTGGAAAACAAGAGGAGGAATCGGATGATCTGCAGGTACCAGCGGCCAGCAAAGTGCTGCAGGGCGACCATGACCAGCGACACCACCACCAGGGCGCCGAAGAGGATCTTGGTGAGGCAGTTCACTTCCAGGTCAAACAGGCCGATCTGCAGGACAGCAGACAGGGGGCTGGAGGAGCCTGGTGCCACCACAGCCTCACTGGGAGCTGGTCCACACCCAGCAGAGACCAGGGCATCTATCCGTCTTCTGACAACACTGGCCTGCCAGCTGGAGATCCTAACAGGCAGCCCAAGGACCTCAGAGGATTCTGATTCCAAACTGCTTAGAACTTTCAAAGATTCTGACTTGGAAACACATAGGCAGGTGACCATCACATTGGGTTGTGCTGGGCGTGGCGTAGCCCCTGACACCCTACACAGTGGCCCTGTAAAATCTATTCCCAGCACTATACCACATACAAAGTTTGGGCACACAGCACTGATGGCACCTGATTTTAGGTGTGGCCTAAGTAAACATTATTATTTTAATAATTGTTCATTTAGGGCTGGGGATGTAGTTCAGTGGTTCCGCAGCCTGCCTTGCAAGCGCAAGGTTCTGAGTTCAATCCCCGATACCCCACCCCAAAAAAAAAGTTAATTTATTTCCAATGTAACTAGCACTTCAAGGCCATAATTTCACGGAAAAAGGCCCAGCATAAGACTACAGCATCGGAGAAGGCACACCAGGGCTGTGAGGTGAATGCAACGGAAGCTCAGGAGACCCAGCTCTGGTTATGCTACTCACAAAGGGAATCACTCTCTGACGGTCTGACTCGAAAGTTGGAGGCAGAGGCAGGAGGACTGCTTGAGTGAGTAACCAGCTTCAAGGCCAACCTGGGCAACATGGTGGGACCCTGTCTCCATTTTTAAAAATACCAGAGACAGGAGCGGGTGAGAGGGCCGTGGTATGCAGAGAGCAACATCGGGACACTGGGCAGAATGCAGATCCGACTGAGCCCCGCCAAGCCAGGGTCTCGGTAGGGCTTCATCTCAGGCCCCCGCACCCCGCTCACTGGCGGCCTGGGCAGAGCACGTCCAAGGCCTGACAAGGAGCAGGGGAGGGGAGGAGCCGCACTCACGGGCTGCAGTGCGGAGGGTGCAGTGAGGCATGTGTGAGAGGCAGCACACTCACCCGGCAAACCGGGGCTTGGCAGTTCGTTTTCACTCTCACGCATCTCAAGTTTCATGTATTCACATGCGTGAACACGTGTGTGTGCATATACGTGTATATGCACACACATGTACTCACATGCGTGAACACGTGTGTGTGTGCATATACGTGTATATGTGCAAATGAATGACACCTCGCTGTCAAAGGGAGGTGCCCCTGCTTTTGAGTCCTGCCCCTCACCCACACGGAGCCACCATCGACGCGTCCCATGGCCTCTTACACACCTTGCTTCGGGGGTTGGACGTGTTCATGACGCTCCGGAGTTCTCTGCCGGTGTAAAGGACAACACCCACAACGGTGCCTGAAATGAGAAAGCAAACCAAAGAACCATGAATGCGGACCACTGGGCTTGCGAACAGGCTGAGTCACCAGCCCGAGCAGGAGCTTTCCAACTCCCATTAATGGGTACACAACGCGGCTGACAGACATTGGACACTGCGGCGAGCAATGGTCCATGGAGCGCTGACCAGCAGCACAGCCACTAAGCACAGGCTGAAATTCAATCAGAATGAAGGAAAACGCAGCTCCCACTCTCACCAGCACCTTCGCAGTGTCCGGCAGCCACAGGAGATGGCAGTGGCCGCGTGGGTCAGTGAAGACGTGCAGCGTTCTGACCACGGGATGCTGGTCCGTGGGGCCCAGCAACCAGGAGAGTTGGGGGACAGGGATTTGTCCTCCTCGCCACCAGCCTTACAGGCCTCCAGAGAGGTACAGAACTTTCCTACCTCCAGGCACAACTGAGGAAGGCCCTGAACACACCCTCCTTTCCCAAGCAGGCTTCCTGCTGATTGCTGTCCCACCCTGCAGGCTCTGCCCTTTGGAGCAGGCTGTGCAAATGGGACTGTCTTTCCAAGACCTCCCTCCCCTCCAGGAGCACGGAGGAAAGGCACCAATCCTTCTGAAACAGGACAATGTATGAAGAAATATAATTAGCCAGTGAGGCGTTAAGAAAGATGCTCAACCTACTGAGCGATCAAACCACTTCCGTCCCCATCAGATCAGCAGTAACTCAAAAGCCTGACAACATTCAGTGTTAGCCGAGAGGTGGGAAAAGGGATCCTGTTACACACCCTGCCGGCTGCGGAGGAAATGGGAAAAAGTGCTGATATCGGACAAAAGTGTACCATCTCCCCTTTCCAATGTGTGTGCCAAGAAAATGCTCCGTACAGTGCGGAAGATGGGCAGCAAGCAAGGAATCAAGAAACACAGCCATTGAGGCGAGCGAGAGGTGCTGCGGCGGCAATCGGAAGGGAGCGGAGGGAGAGGTGGCAAGGGGTACGGGGCCTGAACCCCGCGGCTGCAGCAGGGGAGTTAACAGCATCTGATCTCCAACTTGAGCCACAGGCGGGGGCCTGGCCATGCCCAGGAAAGAGCTGTGGCCTCTGCCGGAGAAAGCAAGCTGCCAGCCTTCTCCTCCCCTCTCGGGATCCGTGTGAGGGAGATGTGAGACACGGAAGCGACCAGCCACCTGGAGCGGCACAGCGCTTCCCGCCACCGCCAGGGTCCCCCCAGGTGCCGCACCGTGACAGCACCGGGAAGGGGCGGGCAGCACAAGGCTTCTCTGCAGCACGCGTGGCAGATGGCAGGCCAGGAGAGCGACTGGGCAGATGGCAGGCGCCGGTGACCGCATGCGCCCCGCCCTCAGCCCTCGCAGAGCAGGTGGTGGGACAGTGGGAGCAGAGCCGGGTGGAGCAGGAGGTGACCATGCGGCCAGTACCCCCATTCCTAGGCAGACGCAGCTCAGCCCCTCCATTCCGATGCCCGGGGGAGTGAGGGGGACCCCAAAGGGCATACTCTCCACAGCTCTGCCGTCAGGGGACCCGAGCCCTGGCCTCGCCCTCAGCACGGCCAACACCCAGTGAGCCCCGCTTCCACGGTTTTGAAAGGGGTGTTAAGTTTTAAGTTGGGGAGCTTTCAGATAGAAAAGTGAGACCATCAGCTTGCACTGGAGAAGTGGAGAATCTGGTGACACCGGGTTCGCACTTTTCTAACTTGCAGTGGATAACAGAAGGCGGGAGTTGGATTCTAAAGGAAACAGAGAAGCGAAGTCTCACAGAACTGAGAGGACTCCTGCCCGCTGGTTCCCGAGTTGATCACCAGAAGGAAAAGGCTCGTGTTGGATCCCACATTCACACCTGATCAGAAAAGAGTTTGGTGTCTACCAAGTGCGACGAGCACACTGAGGCCAGCTAGGTCACAGAAAACGCCCTATCCCAGACATCCACCTGTGAAGGGCAGGGCAGGCAGCGTGGCTGGGTCTCACACAAGAGCGCTGGCTCGCTGTCTTCCCACACAGCCAAGCACAAGGGAGGAAGGCAGGAAAAACACCCTCCAGCTGTCTGAAATCGAACCCATCCCCAAAGCCCCATGTGCCTTCTACTGCCCCCATTCCATTAAATGCCCTTACTCAGTGCTACACGATCAAAAGAATGGAAGGAACACACCCCATAAGTAAAAAGTACCTGATAAATAAGACATCACTGTTGTTCATCTCTGAAATTAAGGCTGACTGGCCGCTTCAGACTTACAATTCTGAGCATTTCCTCCTAGACTGCTTTCCTTTTACTGGTTTTAAAGCAAATAAATGAAACTCTCCTGCATGTCCTGTCCTCTTCCATGTTGCCTGTGAACTACAGGCCCAAGGGTGAGGGCAGCCCCTCCTGGACCTCATTAAAGCAGAGGGACCAGCGGCACAGTGCAGCAGCCCTCTGCACAGGTGCCTGGTAAGGAGCTTCTGTGTGTTCAGGAAGAGAGAGCCACCAGGACGGACAGACGGACGGATGCACACCCCTTCCTGAACTCTTCCCGGCACCCCAGCCAGTGTCCACCTCACGGCTAGGCTACTGGACATCAAGGTAGGGGAGAGGAGCCGGCGCCTGGCTGGCAGTGCCCTGCTTCCCACCCTGGGTGTCGGGCTCGCGGAGGTGGCCCCATGTCACAATCTGCCGGGTGCTGCACTGAGGGCTCGTGTACTTTTCCGCGTCTTTCAATAAAAGTTGGTGTGGGTGCTTGAGGAAGAGGAAGAGAAGAAACGTCTAACCGCCCGTGAGAACTCCCGTGCAGGCTGGGGCTGCAGCTCGGAGGTGGACTGCTTGCCTCCCATGCACAAGACGCTGGGTTCAATCCCCACCACTGGGGAGAAAAGAAAAAGAATGGGAGTGTACACTGTGCATGCTCCTGCCTGGCAAGGAGACCTGCATATTCCAGGTGCCTGCGACCTCCCGGGGCTGCGGGGCCAGACTCCGGTGGCTTCAGCCCAGCGGTCATCTCCGGAAGCGGAAGCCGCTCTCTGCGGGCCCTGCACACAGGCATCTCCACCCCAGCCTGTCCTCTGGCCACAGCCCCTTCCGCCTCCCCATGAGGCGAGGCTGCCTCTCGCAGAGCCGCCAGGACCAGCATGGAGCCAGGGTCTGGGCAGGGGGAGGACTCCTCACCGGCTGGCTGCCCTATCTCCACTCCCAGACCAAGATACACCCCCGACACATCCAGCGTCTTAACCACAAAACCATATAAACACCCCAGGAAATGTAATTTTATAATCTTAGAGCAGGGAAGATTTTTTCCAAAGCATGGCATAAAAAACACAAACCATAAAGGACAAGCGATCAATAGGTGTGACTAGATACAAACTGTAGACTCTGAGGCTAAAAAACAAATAAAACCGACGCAATAAAGGCAACAACGGAAGGGTGATACTCTTACAACAAACAGCCCTTACGAATCTTTTTTTTTTTCTTTTTTTTTAAGCCCACAAACAGAAAAATGGATGCAGGGCACAAAGAGACAATTCACACACATACCTAAGAAAATACAAATGAACAGTAAGTTAAAAAGGGAGATGTTTGACCTCACTTAGGAGGTGGAGAGGTCTGGGGATTAAACCCTGGGCCTGACACACGCGAGGCCACATTTTACCACCGAATCCCACCCCTGGCCTGCCAGCAGTAACTGAAAAGTAAATCGAGGGTTGGGGATTTAACTCGGTGGCTCCACTGCCTGCAAGGTCCCGCAAGGTCCCAAGTTCAATTCCCAGTACAAAAAAAAGGAAAGAAATGCAGTGACATTATTCCTTTCTTGGAGGAATGGAAATTTTTAATTCATTGTGTGGAAGAGCACACGATTCTGAGACTACATTAGATACCACCAAATTGTATCTTTCAAACGGATGTGCTGTGTGCTATGTGAATTACATCTCAATAAAACTATGGTATTTCTCAAAGGCAAAAAAGAAACTACATCAAGAGCCAGGCGTGGCAGCGCACACCTGTAACCCCAGCACTCAGGAGGCTGAGGCTGCCGTGGGTTTGAGTCCAGGCTGAACTTCACAGGATACTGTCTCAAAAAGCAAATCAGAACATGAGATACACAATCAACGTCAGCCAAATGGGCAAGACAACGTGGCGCTGATCTGGGTGTGTGCGTAAGATTTTCAAGTGTGTGAGGAAAAGAAGGACGCTTGCCACACAAGTCCAAGCGTGAAACGTGGGCCCACGTGGGTCAAATGTGAAATGTAGCCCCATGGGTGAGGCTCAGGGTTCGACCCTCAGCACTCACGCCCCCAACAAGGGAAAATGTGATCATGTTTCTGTGCAGAGAGAACTTCTACATCATAAAAGCAAATAACGCCCACCACAGGCTAAAACAAAAGACAAAGGAAGAAAAACCCTGGTAACCTATGGCAGACAGCAGTCTGGTGGACTTTCTCCTATAAGGCATTCTTACAAAAAGACAAGGGAGAGTGGATGGAACAAAATATAAGGAACAGCTTTTATGTAGAAAGTTGTTCAAATGTATTCACAATTAAATAAAAAACAAAACAACAACAAGACTCCATTTGCCATTAAACAGTCCAGAAAACAATTTAAGTCATCATAAAGTTTGAACAACAACAACAAAAAAAAGACAAACTGGATGGAAGAAAAGGACATGGGGCCGGGTGTGGAGGTGCACACCTGTAATCCCAGCACTCGGGAGGCTGAGGCAGGAGGATCACTGTGAGCTCGAGACCAGCCTGGGCTATATGGTGAGTTCCAGGTCAGTCTCAACTACATAGTGAGACCCTGCCTCAAAAAACCAAAAAAAAAAAAAAAAAAACCTAAAAAAAAAAAAAAAAAAACCTAAAAAAAAAAAAAAAAAAAAAAAAAAAAAAAAAAAAAAGAAAGAAAGAAAAGGACACGGGGACACGGGCACATGCCTCAGAAATGAGATGTTCTTACAAGTGAGTTAGCAAAAAAAGCAAGAACCAAGACAGAAAAATGATTAAAGGACAGAAACAAGTAGTAATAAATAAAGGAAGAAACCAAATTCAAGTACAGAATGTAATCTACAAAATGCAAACAGTAACTGAGACGCTTCCTCTTCAAGTTAGCAAAGCATGGAAAGAGGAATGACTTGCTAGGAAGGGGTAGGAGAGCAGGCAAACAAGCTGGGGCGGGGGGCACAGCAGAATGGGCTGCTGCTTGCCCGGGGCAGCCACATGGTACTGGAGGCCACAGCCCGACCAGGAGGCCTGAGCAGAATCTTCAGCACCAGGTTGTCCCTTGCTCAGTCACCAATGGACCATGGGACTGTTACAGGCTGTGATGCAGACACAAGCAGGCATGGGGGGCAGGCAGCAAAGCCACTCCGAAGAGGGAGCACCACCCTCTGCCCAGCCACCCAGCCCGAGCCTGAGCCTGTGCCTGTCTGGGACACTCTGGTGCAGGGTGCATCCTCCCCGACCCCCGGGTCAGCCAGAATTCTCATGCAGTGTCTGCTGTGCTGAAGAGACACAAAAGAGGACCAAGCAGAGAACAGGAGAGGACGAAGGGGAAAAAGACTGGATCCCTCCAGCAGGTAAGACAGGAAGCTGGCAGCAGTGGGACTATGATGCAAGGTAATTATGCTGCTACGTTAATTATACAGCACAGTGCAATACAACGATGTTATTAATAGCAGCTGCACAATGAGTTCTGCATCTGCCCACTGTGTGGACTCAGCAAGTTGCCCACCCCACCCCCAGCCTCAGTTTCCCCATCTTCAGAAGGGGATACACTAGCACCTGTCCTCAGAATGCTGGAGGGCGAGGTGTGGCACCCGAGCACATAAAGGATTGGGCACAGCGCCAGCACTGGCCACTGCCACTGCAGCCCTTCTGCTCAGGGCCACCCCAGCGCTGACCCCAAAGCCAGCTTGGGGTTGGAACCCAGCGGCTCGGCCATTTGCTGTGTGCTGCTGCCCCCCGACCCCGCACCCCTAGGGCAGCAGCCCCCCTGGACACAGCTTCTGGCCAGAACAGCCAGGCTGACTGCGTTTCTGGTACAGATCAGAGCGTCAACTGAAGTGGCAATTAAGGGCCATGCCCAGCGGGACCGCCGCGGAAAGTCCGCAGCCCCGGCAGCCTCTGCTCTGGACATCGGTACGTGTGGGAGCCTCATTCCGACGTCAGCTGAATTCCCCGGAGAGCCGGAACATGTGGGAAATGCCATGTGACCGACAACTCAGTCTCCCCTTTGACAGGTGATTATTCTAATTACAAAAGGGTTTTCTGCCCCTTTCAAATTGCTACCACATTCCTGCCTCACCTGACGCGATCACGGTGCCGGCCCATAGCGTGTTCTCCACGCTCAGGCTCTCGCTGATGGGCGGGTCGCTGTCCTCCTGGAAAAGACCAAACAGAATCATCCTCACCTGGTCACCCTGTTGGGCCCCGGTGACGGGTCCTAGGCCCCTCCAGGATCCCCAAACCGAGGGGCGCTCAGTCCCTCGTACACCAGGAAACCTACACGCGTCCCGCTGGGTCTCTGGGTGGCTCTCATGCGACACTGGGTACAGTGCAAACGCTGCGAACAGCGGTTTTCTGCATGTTTAAGGGGTGATACAAAAACAGAATGTCTGCACATGTTCTATAGAGGTACAAAGTTGAACTGGCAGGTGCAGAACTTGAGGGAAATACTGGGGCCCGGCTGTCCACATCAGGGTCCCGACAGAACCCACAGGCTGCCCCCAGCCCTCTCTCCTCAGGCAGAGGATTCAGCTTCCATCGCCTGAAACCAGCGACCCCAGCTTGGAAGCCCGCAGCTCAGCCTGACAGGTGGGTTAAGCTTTTCAGCTACTACCCTCAGCGCCTCCATCTCTCACAGAAACATCTGTAAGCGATTTGAGAAGCATGGGTCTCTAACACTAAAGAAATATTTTGCTGGCCAAGTTGGTACACACCTGTATTCCTAGCTACTCAGAAGGCTGAGGCAGGAGGATTGCAAGTTTGAGGTCAGACTGGGCAACTTCACAAGACCCTTTCTAAAACTAAAATTTTAAAAGGGTCAGAGGTGTAGCTCAGTGGTAGAACACAGTTGCCTAGCATGTACAAAGCCCACGGTTCAAATTCCAGCACCAAGGAGAGAGAAAAAAAAAAAAGACGAATGTTTAGCAAGGTAAGAATTAAAATGCAGAAGCAAATCAATCAGGCTTTTTTCTGGCCAGTGTTAAGGCTTTGAGAAAGAGACCAGAGAGAACAGAATTGGGATTCTATAAATTGACTGACTCATATTCCCAAACTAATTTAAATCCAAATTTAATTTCTATTCTGAAAAGCCTGAAACTGACTTAAAAATCAAAATACCGCGCACAGGATTTCTACAAACGAAAGAAGGCACGGGCACACATGGAGAAGACTGAACATGTACTCGGGTGTCGGGCAGCTGCCAGCACGCACTTGGGCTCCACGCGGCCCCAAGCCGGGCAGGAAACTGCAGGGTGCGGACCTCCGGAGGAGCAGCCCAGCCGCTCAAGGCGGGGCCTCTGGAAAGGAACCCTGGCTGACGCGCACATGGGCTCCGAGGCGCTGTGCGCTCGAGCTCACTTACCCTGGTGAAAGTTCCTACGAAGTTGTGAATGTCAATGTTCGGCTCCTCCGCGTACACGCAGGCACGGATCTGGAGAAGGTCCTGCGGGTGGACACGGTCCGGTTACGGGTCTGGGTGTCAGCAGGCACCTACCAAACGCAACTGCGATTCCCAGGACAGAGGAGAGGAAGGGAGGGCAGGGGAGTGGAGGAGAGGCCTCCATTATGTCTGCTTGGGAGGTGCCCCGCCTTCACCCCGCGCTGTCAGCCTCCCTGTGCGGGCGACGCCCCACGGCTAAGAACCCGCTGACACAGGCCACCCTGGGCCACCCCTCGGATTGTTCATTGACATCACGGATTCACCATGGGTCACGGGGCCCCTGCTCTGGGCACAGCCCTGGGCTGGCAGAGAAAGGGATCAAGAGCGCCTACGCCCCCTGAGGCCTCTACCAAATAAACAAATAACCGGGAAACAAGAGAGAAACTGGAACCCTTGTGTACCACCCCGGTGGATGTAAGAGGGTGTGGCTGTTATGGAGACCAGCACGGTGCTGCCTCAAAAAACCGAACATGGAATCACTTTGTGATCCAGCAATTTTACTTCTGGGAATATGTCCCAAAGAACTGAAAGAAAGGACTTGAAGAGATATTTGTACACCTTTGTGAGTTATTCACAAACCCATGAGGCGTGAGCAAACCCAGGGCCCACCAGGGACGAACTAATCAAATGTCGTATCGTCACACAGTGGAATATTACTTGGTCTTCAAAAGAGAAGAAACTCTGGGCACATGCTGTAACATGGACAATCCTTTAGAACACTGTACTGAGTGAAATAAGTCAGCACACAGAAGACACGGTATGATTCCCCGTACAGGAGGTCCCTAGAATCAATGGAGTCAAAGGACAGCAGGAAGACTGCCAGGCCCCAGGGAAGGAGAGCAAAGGAGTTCTGCAGACGGCTGGCTAGCAGTTACAGCTGCCCCACAGTTTGAATGCATTTAAGGCATTCAGCTGCACACCTAAAACAGTAATACAGCCGGGTGCAACAGCTCACGCCTGTAACCCTAGCTATGCTGGAGGCTGAGGCTGCTGGGCAACTTAGTGAGACCCTGTCCCAGAATTTGAAGAAAGGGCTGCAGCTATAGCTCAGTGGCAGAGTGCCTGCCTTGTATGCAGGAGGCCCTGGGTTCATCCCCAGCATTAACTGTAGACAGGAGTTAAGACAGAAAGACAGAGGAGAAGTCTTGACATTCCTTGGTAAGACCTGCGTTTCACAGCAGAGCACGTTAAGAGGCACGGTTGGGTACAGGCAGGAGGAGCAGAGTCCCTGCTGGAACAAAGAATAAGGAGAGGAAGCAGGCTGTGCAATCGCATAGGAACAGCGTGGAACTGCAAACAGTACAGAAGCTGATAGTCCCAGGGAGAGGGGACAGGGCACTGGCACAGGGAGGAAGTGGCGGTGGCCCAGACCCTGTACCAAGTTCGGTGTTGGCCACGCTAAACACGTATGCACAGCAGTAGC